CTCGGTCTCATGGGACTGGGTCCCTGCAACTGAGCAGGACTTTGGTAACTTATTCTCCTTGGCCTGACCCCAGAGTCTACAGTTTTTAAATCCCTGGGGCTGCCATGCTGAGTAGGGTCAGAGGCAGGTCTGGGAATTTCCTTAGCAATGAATGTGGTCCTTTCTCTCAGTCCTACATGCACTGAGTTTGTGTGTGGAACCTCACAAAATTCAACCTTTCTTTTGTAAAATGACAAGTCACTAAATAGTAGAGAACCTTACAAATTACCTAATTTAAACCTTCCCCAACTTCACAGGATGCTTAGAGGTTTTCCAGTTCCTCAGAGGGCAGAATATAAGGAAAGTGCTTAAACAATAGCACGTGGGAGACTTTTGAGGAAAATATTCCCAGATGGGGAAAGTGGTTAAGAATTATAATAAATTATTATGTTGTGGAAACTAATTTATTCTATTTCTCCCTCCCCTTCTTCCTGTTTAGTTTTGAAAATAGGGCTAATTCTCATAGAATAATTTAAATGAGGTTGACTTTTTCACTATCTGACAATGGACCGGGCCATCTCCTAAAGGTGTGACAACCTCATCACTGAAGAATTAAAAAAGGGTAGGGACAGAAGGGGCTTCTTTGTGGTCCATTTAACTCAACAGCACTAATGACAGAAGTGCCAATAAACCCCAACATCTACTGAATACTTTCTAGCTACTGTACATTTTACCTGGATTATCTCATTCAATTCTCCACAACAGCCCTATAAGGAAGACATTAGTTTTATTTCCATTTTATAAATAAGAAAACTGAAGCATAAATAAGTTAAATAAATTAAGAATGAGAGAGCTGGGATCTGAACCTAGAGTCTGACTCCAGAACAAACCTTTTTTTTTTGTTTCCAATAAAGGACTAACGCTGACATGAAATAAACTGCACATAAGTTTTGACATATATACACTTGTAAAACCATTATCATGATCAAGATAATAAACATACTCCCAAGTTTCCTAAGGCCCTGTGAAAACAACTGTTAATCCCTCCTTCCTGGATCCCTCCCAAACCCTCTAACCAACCATCTGTTTTATGTCAGGAAACGTATTTGCACATCCCAAAATTTTACATAGCACATGGTATGATATAATATGTACGTCTTTTTTCCACTCAACATAATTTTTAAAAAAATTTGGCCACGTTGTAGCATGTACCAATAATTCATTTCTTTTTACTGCTGAGTAGTAGTCCCTTGTACGAATATACCATTCTCTGTTTATCCATTCATTTGTTGACGGACATTTGGGTTGTCCCCAATTTTTGTCTATTACAAATAAAGTTATTATATACATTTGTGTACAAGTCATTGTATGGACATATACTTCCCTTTCTCTTGGGTAAGTATCTAAGAGTGGAGTGGCTGGATCATCTGATAGGTATATGTTTAATTTAAGAAAATGCCAAATTGTTTTCCTAAGAGGTTGTGCCATTTTCCATTCCAACCAGTGGGGTATGGGAGTACCAGTTCCTCCACAATCTTGACAACAATTAGTATGGCCAATCTCTAAATTTTTAGCTATTTTTAAAAGTGTACAGGTATGTCATTGTAGTTTTCAATTTGCATTTCCCAAATGACTAGTAAAGCTGATGGTCACTTAGTGTGTTTTCGGTATCTCTTCATTTGAATATTTTGCATTTGGGGGGAGGGATGTTTTGTTTTCTTACTCAATTGTGAGAGCTCTTTATATATTCTGGATATAACTCACTTTATCAGGTACATGATTTGCAAATATTTTCTTCCAGCATGTGGCTTCTTTCTATTCTCTTGAGTGTCTTTCACAGAACAGAAATTTTTAATTTTGATGAAGTCCAATTTATAATTTTAAAAAATAAGATTGTGCTTTTAGTGGCATGAAATCCTGCCTAACTAAGCAAAGGTCAAAACAGGCTTCTAATTTTATGTTTTAAACTTTGGTTGAGGATGCACTTTAGATGATTATCATATACAGTGCAAGGCATGAAATGAAGTGTTTTTTCCCCGCATGGAAAAACCAGTTGTTTAAGTACTATTTGTTGAATAGATTATCATTTTGAAACTCAGCTGTCCATTTGTATGTAGGTCTACTTCTGGATTTCTTTTCATTGATCTCTTTGTTTGGTTTTACACCATTACTGCACTCTTATTGTAGTTTTATACAATGTGTTGAAATCAGTAGTAGTTACTATTCCAACTTCATTCTTTACAAAGTTGTTGTATCTATTGTAGAACCGTAAGCATTTACATAACAGTTTGTTAATTTCTATTCAAAAGTGCATCAGAATTAGATTGCACTGCATTGAATCGATAGATCAAGTTGAGAAGAACTGACCAAACAACATTGTGTCTTCCAACCCATGAACATTTTATTTAGTTCTCTGATTTCTGTTGGCAATGTTTTACTGTTTTCAGGGTACAGATTCTTCACATATTTTTTTTCCAAATTTATCCCTAAGCATTTCATATTTTTGATGCCATTATAAATAATGTATTTATTTTTAGTTTCCCATTGTTTGCTGTTAGTATATAAAAATACATTTGTTGTATTGATCTTGTATCCTGCAACCTTACTAGAATCACTTACTTTAGAAGCTTTTAGGTAGATTTTGTTGGATATTCTACAAAGGCCTCATGCTGTCCTTTTTTACAGCCTGGATGCCTCTTCCTTCTTTTTAATACCTTATTACACTGGCTAGAACCTTCAATAAAATGCTGAATAAAAGTAGTGGGAGCCAACTAGGCCTAGATTTGTGTTTATGGAAAGGTTCTGAAGTACAAATTTAATTTGTTTATGCCTATTTCTTCTTCAGTAAGCTTTGTAGTTTATGTATTTCAAGCAATGTGTCCATTTTATCTGAGTTGTCAAGTTTATTGGTATCAAGTTTTCTACAGTATTTCCCAGTTCTCACAATATCTGTAGAATCAGCAGTGATGTCAGTTATTTCATTCCTAACCTTGAAGACTTGCCTTCTCTCTTTTCTTTCCCGATCTCTCTGGATAAAGGTTTATCAATTTTATTGGTCTTCTTAAAGCACTAGCTTTTAGTTTCATTAATTTTCTCTATTGATTTTCTGGGAATACAGATTTTTAAAATTATAAAATATTTCAAACATGCAGAAAATGCTGAGACTACTCCCTAGATTTTTAGAAGAGTTAACACTGTTATTTCAGAAGTTTTACAACTGAAGTCTCTTTTGCTAGCTACTCATCAAAATTAAGATCTTACTCCCCTTCCTTCTCAGAAGTAACGTCTCCTGACCACTGTGCTGACACTATTGTTTATTGCTCTTATTTGTTTCTGAAATGTGAACACCATATCTCTTTGTATTCATTAAAAATATATGGTACTACTGCTTTGGGTGTTTTAAAATTTACTAAAACAATACATACTATATACTACTGCAAACACATTTTTCACCCTGGTTTTATCTATGGATTGTCATGTAGTTCTAATTCACATATCGAAAGTACTACACTGTATAAATATACTGCAGTTTAGTTATTCAGTTTTTTTAATCAACAGAGATTAATTCAGTTTCCAATGTTTCTATGTCTGATCATATAAACACATACATTAAAACTCTATAGAATCTAGAAGGGTAATTTCTTAGTAGGTTGTAAGGTGTCTTCAACTTTACTAGAAATTACTTAATTGCTCTTTTAATATCTGCAACTCTCATCCCACTCCTGGCACTTTATCCCCCCTTCCCTGCTCAATTTTCATCATAGCATTTATCACCTTCCAAGACACTATGCATTTTACTTGTGTACCTAATAATTATCCATCTCCCCAACTACAATGTTGCTATATAAGGGCAGAGGTTTTTATATCTTTTCCTTAATACTGCATCCCAACACCTAGAATCTCACCACATATAGCAAGTACTAATTAAACAGCTGATGAATTAGTGGAGAAAAAAATTCTAAGCATCCATAATAAGCGAACATGTTTGTTGATCCTGAAGTAAACATATAAATTCACTAGCTTCCTACTTCCTACTTAGTTATTTTTTTAAAAAATTTAATTTATAAATGGTATTTCTAGCCTAAGATCATTCCTAAAAACACTTAACATAGCAATATTACTTGATTATCTCAATATGAATTTTCTTATTTAGTGATATCCAAATTAAGTACTAATTTACTAATAGATTCAGTTGGTTCCAGGCAGCAAAATCACTAGGACATGTAAAAATCCAAGGATATCTTCTTAGCGATGAAATGGAAAGCTTGTGAGATAGTCAAACTAAATGGAAAAAAGGGAGCCTGATTTATTTCATTTTTCTTGAGCCAAAATGCACCTGCACCAGCAGCCAGCTGCACTTTAGCCACTGAATGGTGGATAACTCATGAGAACAGAACCTTACAGAGGAGAGCAAATGCATATAAACAATAATAAATTGGTGATGTCAACAAAAATAGCATAGTATGAAATTAATCAAATGGTTAATGTACTTTAGAAAAGAGAACTTAATAATTCAACTAAAAGGTTCTGTTTTTACTCACAGTCACTTTAACAGTTTTAACTGAGGAAGTTTCCATCTCTGACCACCAGGAATCCCAGAGCTAAAACCATGCCACCCTAAGTAGGAGTCAGATGACACACGTCCCAGAGAATGACCTTCCCCTAACTCTGTCTCGACGTCCTGCTCATGTTCTGATTCATCTACTTAAAGAAACTCTATTGTACTGTGTGCATATGTTTAACTGCCTTTTAGAGATAAAGCATGGGATATATAAGTAAATGAAACACTAAAAATAATATACGATTTCAAAATAAATAAATGCATACATACATAAATAATTCAACTAAAAGGTTGAATTATCCCCTGAATTTAAATTCCCTGGATTAAAAAAATAGATTTTAAGGTTATTTTTTAACTTTATGCTTCCCAAAAGACTTGATACATGTCATTGCTAGACTTTTCAGAAAACCTGCTAGACCTCCTTAAGGCGTTTATAAGATGAAAGGACATCGCCCCTTACCAGTGCAACTAACGACTTTGCCTCCTCTTGAGTACAACGGAAAGGACTATTGCAGATCTGCACGTTTGTGCTGCAAATGAAAAGAAAATGTTAGTATTACACAGGACAACAAAGGAGCAATTACCAAAAAGAAAACTAACTCCAAATGCCCCACATGGACAGTATGATTCTAGCTGGTGAAAAGAACCTGAATGATTAGAAATTAGGACAACTGAGATTCTTGTATATTCTTTCAGTTAAGGTTATAAGTAAAAGTGCTCCACAGCACTGCACGCTCCAGAATTCAAAATAAAAATAATAGAATAGGTATCTAAATAATATCCCATTATATGTAAAAGGCTAAGCTAAAACTACACGTCACCTGTCCTGAAGGAAAGAAAAAATAAATTTGACCCACCGAATGACAGCTATTAGAAAGAATTTTCCTCTAAACGAGGTGATAAACACTGTAATTGGCTACTGAAAGATACTGTGGAATCCCTTTCTCAGGTAGGTGTGGTAAATTAAGCTAACAGTGGTGAGAAAACCGTATGAATACGAAAACTCAGTTTCTTACGGGTAAGGAAGTTTGGTGAGGCATCCATGATCAATAAAGAAAGGCTCTATAAAATCAAAAGAATCTGCACACAATGAGGAACAGCATGCTATCTACACAAGCAGACCACCATTACTTATTTCCTACCTCCTACTTGAAAGCAAAGGCATTTCCTCTCAAATATAAATTTCATTAGAGAAATCAGATTAAAGTGGATACAGAAAGTGGTGGTAAGGAGAGTTAAAGCCCATTTAATTTTTAAAATAGAAGGGAAAAGTGATTAGCAGATTCCCAAAGGAGATGCATAATAAATCTCTCTCTCTCTTTCTTTCTCTCTCTCACTCTCTCTCTCTCTCTCTCTCTCTCTCTCTCTCACACACACACACACACACACACACACACACTTGCCCTCAAGTGGATCTACCTACAGGATATACATTATCAAATTTATCTTTGAAATGGTTTGTGAAATATGTCAGGATATATATGATAAGACCCATTTATTTACTTATCTTTTTAACTACATCTGTCTAAAATCAGACATTGGACATATAACAAGTATAGTAACTGGTCAGTTTACTTTCTATCCAGACTCAAGATGTGGGATTTATTTTCATTCTTGACATGAATAAAATTGATGAAAGTTGACATTATCATCTTTAAGACTAAACTATTTTTTATTCTCTTCTCTACATCCCATGTTTAACTAAAAACTGAAAAAGGTTGCCCAGCCAGCGTGGCTCAGTGGCTGAGAGTCGACCTATGAACCAGGAGATTGCAGTTCAATTCCCGGTCAAGGCACATGCCCGGGTTGCGGGCTCGATCCCCAGTCGGGGGTGTGCAGGAGGCAGTCGATCAATGACTCTCTCACCATTGATGTTTCTCTCTCTCTCTCTCTCTCTCTCTCTCTCTTCCTCTCTCTGAAATTAAAAAAATAAAAAATTGAAAAAGGTAAAGCTTTATAAGTCAAATATTTCCCTAAAGAAAGTCAAAACTAAATTTAAAAAGAACAAGGCAAAAAATTAGGCACTGCATACTCTTAAGTGCTAGTCAGTCCTCCGAAGAAAGCACTGTGTATAGTAAATACGCTATATACAATGTTTTTAACATTCAAACTAAACCATCTCTAGATGCTGGGGATACAATGTTGAACCACAGAGCTCCCATGGAGCTTACAATATTTAGGGTTCATTTTACCTTCCAAACTTGACCATGGCATACAAGAGGAGACGCAGAAAAATCATTTAAAGGAAAGATGACTAAGCTGATGGTGTCTACTACAAATGAGATTATATATGACTAAAAAGGATGTGCTGTTTTCCTTTTTATAAGATACTAAACATTTTGTTTAAATTTATAAACATTACATAGCCCATATACAACCTTGCTCACCAAAATACAAAGACATGACATTAGAGCAATAGATGACCAATATCAAGAATGCTGGGTACAACAAACCCAAGTTGCATTTAAAAAAATAAATAGGTACATTAATAGATAATAGTACAGAAATAATTGATTAAATAAAAAGGAACAGAAATAGAAAATTACCTGCAAATAATGAACAGACACATAAGAGATGAAATTTACAGCCAGCAATATAGAACTTTAATAAAGAGAATTTATTTTTTTTCCAAGATAATCTCAAATCAGACAAAGGCTCAAACTCATGAGAATCCTCAAAGGGAGTGTCCAGGATATAGATTTGCCCAGGCTTTTCATTCTACAGCAAAGTAGTCAAGAAAAAGGAAGAAAGAGGGAGGGGGGGGAGAGAGAGGGAGGGAAGGAGGAGAGGGAGAGAAAGAAGAATGACAATAATTTTGAACTATAATCTCCAGAGTTTGTAGAAGAAAAATGATACTGAAGTAAATCTACACAAAGTTAAAAGAATTGGCGCCATCTGTATGAGATCAAATACACCTTCCTCTGGAAAGGTAAAAAGAAACAATTTTAAGATCTAAACAACTTGGATATATATTTTTTCATTTTTTCATTCAGTAAGCTAAGCATAAAATACCTACTATGTGTCAAGTCCTGTCACTAAGTGCTAAGGTACAAACTCAATTTACAGCATAAAAAAGAAAAATAATAAACCGCCTCAAGTTCTCCACAGAGGTATGTGCAGCTGTGATATGACTAGGTGAGAGTGCAGTTAATTCTGTCCAGAAAAAAATAAAAATTCTTTGCAGAGGTGACGTGTAAACTGCTTCCTGCAGAATGAGCAGGCGTCCACGGAGGAAGGCAATGAGGGGAGAGGGCACAGAGCACGGGGCTGGGCCAGGAGGGTCAGACACCCTGTTCCACGTAGGCAAGAGCTGGGTCACATTCTTTAATCGAAGGGAACCACGTGGAGCTTTTAAGAATAAAAATGACAATCGCATGTATATTTTTCAAAGATAATTTGGACAGTACTGTATAGAACACATGAGACAGCAGAGTAGTTGCAATACAAAACAATTTATGAGTACAAAAATGATAGCTGAATTAAAGCAGTTTTACAACAAGAATTAGAAGGGCATTTGAGAATCAATAAAAATTTGAAAAATTTGTGTTACAATAAAGTGTAAGTGAAATAAAATAAACTGGTAAAAAGTACATTTCAAATTTCTTAAAAATAAGATAGAGAAATAAACTGTGGCTAAAGAGAGGGTAGGAGGCGTTGAAGAGTAAACCCAAATGGCAAAAAACTGTATTTCTCCTACACTAGAGTTTAAAGTTATTTTAGGTAAGAATAGAAATAATGAAATTCTTTCTGTTAAAAGAATATATAGCTTTCAGAGTAAACATTAAAGAGTGGAAGAAAAGAATAAAGATAACAAAACATATGAAAAAGATAACTGCACAAAATAACAGTTAAAAAATTTAATAAATGCAGTACTCCAGGAAACAGAAGTCACTACTAGATTAAAAATACAACCAATATTTGTTGGCTTTAATATTATTCAACAATTTACCCCAACAGGTATTTATTAAGTAGCTATTACATGTCAGGGGAGAAACAAAGATGATTAAGGCAGCTTTATTCATCTGCTTCCAAGGAACTTCTAGAGGACACAAATCCATAAACCAAGTACAGCGGTCCCCCCTACTGCAGGGGATATGCTCCAAGACCCACAGTGGATGCCTGAAACCACGGGCACTATAAAACCCTATGTATACTGTTTTTTCCTATACATACATACCTACGATAAAGTTTAATCTATAAATTAAGTGCAGTAAGAAATTAACAATAACTAATAATAAAATAGGACAATTATAACAATATACTCTAACATATACTCCAAAATAATAATAAAGGTATGGGAATAAGGCCTCTCGCTTTCTGATAACCAGTCTGATAACTGAGACTAAGTGACTGATGGGAGAGGTGCATACAGTGTGGATACACCGGACAAAGGGATAATTCATGACCTGGGCTGGATGGAGCTCGACAATGGGAGATTTCATCATGCTACTAAGAACAGTGTCAACTGAAAACTGACACTTTTTTTAAATTTTAATTTTCCATTTATATTTCAGACCACAGTTGACTGCAGATAACTGAAACTGCAAAAAGGCAGATAAGGGGGGACTACTGTAGTTAATCACTGTGGTAAATGCAATGATAGAAATACCCAGGGAGCCAATACAGAGTGTACTGGCACCTTAGCTAGCATTGGGGCTACTATAGGGGAAAGTTTCCTACAGAAGATGCAGCCAAAATAAGTCTTAAAAAATGAGGATGTTAGCCAGTTCACAAAAGGAGAAGACAATCGGTAAAGGAAACAGCATGAGTAACGGCCTAGAATCAACAAGACCGTGGTGTTTATGAGGAGTGACAAGCAGTTCTCAGTTGCTGGAACAGGAAATTAGAGGTGAGAAGTGATGGAAAATGAGAGTAAACAGGGGCCAAATCTTGGAAGGCCTTGGTTTGCCCTTCTGGAGAAAGTTTGGATTTTATGGTTCATACACAGAGAGGCTCATTAGAAGCTCCTAGGGAGCTTTTAAAACATATAAAGGCTGAGAGATCCGAATTCACTAGGTCTAGAAAAGGGGGCAATGCAGTTAAGTTTTGTAACAGTTTTCCCAGGTAATTTTGATGTAAGAGAACTGCTGTGATAAATAATGTAAAGCTAAACTGAACTAAGTGGGGAAACAGGTTAAAAAGGAAGGGGGAGGCAGTTTACTCAACAATAGCACATTTTAAGGAAATAAGAGATAAGTAATTTATTAACTAAAGACAAAGGAAATAAATATTGAACAACTCTGAATATATTTTACAAATCATGTAGTGATAAAAATGAAAAATGAGTAAAATTCTATAAAGATTTTTTACTTTAAATTGTCTAGATACATATAATTAATATCTAGAAATGTATATCCTGATAATTTTTTTTAAAGAGTAGTTTATTGATTTTGAGAGAGAGAGGAAGGGAGACGAAACATTAATGTGAGAACATAACATTGATTGGCTGCTCCCTGCACGCTCCATAACGGGAACCAAGCCTACAACCTGGGCATGTATCCCGACTAGGAATCGAACCAGCAACCTCTCGGTGCACAGGGACAACACCCAACCAACTCAGCCACACAGGCCAGGGCAAGTTTTTTTGTTGTTGTTAATCCTAACCCGAGGATATTTTTCCCACTGATTTTTAGAGAGAGTGGAAAGGCAGGAGGGTGGGGGAGAGAGAGAGAGAAACACATTATTTGCCTCCTGCACTCACCTCGACCTGGGCCAGGGATTAAACCGGCAACCCAGGTACGTGCTCTTTACCAGGAATTCAACCTGAGACCGGTCCATGCACGGGCTGACACCCTAACCACTGAGCCACACTGGCCAGGGTCTAATAATTTTTTAACTAAAAAACTGTATTTTGTTGTATTCTCTAAAATAATAGAGGTATACTATAGCTGTTAAGTGAACAGACCTGGAATCTGGCTTAAATCCTGGCTCCACCATGCAGTGTGACCTTAGGTAATTTAATCTCTACATGGTTTCAGTTCCTCATGGGTGAAATGGAGATGAGGGTTCTTGTGAGTATGAATGAGATAACACATATAAAACACTTAGAACCTAGAAGATAGTATGGAGTTCAATAACTGTCAACTCTTATTAATGTAATCCTAATCATTACCAAGACTATAGCAAAATGACATCAGAGCTTAGAAATAAAGTTAGCCTCAGAGTAAAGATAATTAGAATCAGCACAGAAGGAGTGATAATAAGCTGTAGAAAAACCAGCCAAAGAGATGGTCTGCAGCTGTGCAGCTGAGGAAGCCTGGGAAACACAAAAGTCCATCAAAGACTGCAGAACCTTTTCAGAAAGTACAATTAGGAAGGAGATAAAAAAGCAAATGGCAAGCAAATGCCTCTTCAGAGAATTAGAGATCCCTATTTTTTTAGCTCATCACATTAACATCTGACTCAATATCTGACCGTGAGGACTCACTCAGTCTACCAGTTACTAGGATAGTCAGGACTGGAAGACTATGTTAATAAATTATACTATTTAAATGAGAAACAATTACCTAAATTTTGAGACTATGCTGCAAACAAGAGAGTAGTTTGCATAAGAGGTAAGAAAACGGGGAGGAGGGTATCAGAGTTGAGGGTGTTACATTAGCCTGCACAAGAAATAGAATCTGAAGCTAAATGCCCAAGCATTTGTGTCACAGGAAGAGAAGCCTCTCGATGACCTCCGTAAACTATTCCTTGAGACTACTGCTTTCCTCCATCTGACTAATGTATTTTAATAATTTCTCTAATGTCTCTCTTGATTCCAGACTTTATGCTCCAAAAGAGCAGGGACTCTGTTTATTGTACCCACAGCAGTAATCCTGGTATCAGGGCAGTGGCTGGCAGTAGACCCTCAGCCAGTGTTTGCTGAAAGAGAATGGCTTCCCAATTTCCCGATTCAGAGACGGGAACAATGAAGTGGGGTAGCACTGACTCAAGGGTGACATGGACTTCTGCTTCCCACAGTTAGGCTCACCAAGAGTCAGCTGTTTTTCTTTCCAAACCTGTTTATGTCAGCTGTCCTTGTTACTTATTATGTCACAATTTAAGCAGTGATTTTGCTCATAGATGAAGGGAGTGCAGAAAGATAACTGTTTCTATGAACACTACGTAGGCTCTAAGACTACTGAGGTTATAAACACATTTGAGGTTCTAAAAAGCCTTAATAAAGATGACTCACTATAAAAACTTGGTGTCAAAATCAGCTGTGGGGTAAGGCAACAGTAAAAGGTTTGAAAAAAAAGACTACATATCTGTAAGGGTTTTTCACTGTAAGGAGTTTAAGGATTATAGGATCTGATCTTTATTTTCTATTATACATTATGTTAGGATATATATAATCTATATGGAGTCAGCATAGAAAAGGTCTTAGCCTTATATCCAGAGACAGGTAAATAAAGGTACATTTAAATGTTTTAAAGTAAAGTTAATAATTGAGTTATATATGTCACTATTGTTTGATTCTCCTGAATCCTTCAGCTTGGGAATCCAGATCTTGTTGGACAAAAAAGCTTTCTACTGTTCCTATCAAGAAAAGATGTAGTAGTTACAAGATAAATAAAATAACTGTATGCTTGCATGTTGAAAAATTGTTAATTTTTTTTACTCTATCTTTGTATATACCACAATATATTATAATAACATTAATATTATAAATGCCCCCAGTAAACTATAAAACTCTTGAGAAATGACGTGTCAATTACTAGTTTCATGGTGCCCAGCACCTAGTAATGTCTTCCACACAGGTGCTTGTAAGTGAAGAAAAAATTGCAATTCTCTTTTTAAAAAAAATCAGATGAGTTGTATTATATGGCTGTTTATTGCCAATTATTAATAAAGTATTACGTAGAAAGACAAATTCTTACCAATTTATAGCCCCTCCGTCACACTTCTTCATAAGCAGCGCTTCCCAACATTCATGAGTAGCTTTGATAACTTCAAGAGCAAAAGCCTAGTTCCAAACCAAAAAAATAAAAAGACATAGCAGTCACACCATTATACTATAACATGGTAAACTACCAACGTATACTAACATTATACTCACTACAAGAACATGAGCTCTGGAGTCAGGTAAACTTGAGTATAAATTCTGGCATTCTTATTTACGAGCTGTTCGACTTTGGGCAAGTTACTTAACCTCACTAAATCTTAATTTCTTCATCTATAAAATGGAATGCAGTAGGGATCATTGGAATCAGGGGTTGGCAAACTAGGACCTGTGGGCCAGATCCAGCCTGCCACCTGTTTTTGTAGATAAAGTATTACTGAACACAGTTTTATATTTATACTTAGGAATCCTATACAAAGTCCTCAAGATCTTAAGGGTACTTTTAATAAGCCTCTTAAGAAATATCAGTCCAGCAATAAATTCTTATATAGCAAAGTACTTATTGTAAATTTTAGTTTTCATTAACACAGCTTACAAAACAATATATTTATTAGCACCCACTTAAACGTTGATTTGTAATATGTAATTCATATAGTGGTAATAACTTTTGAAAAACATTCAGTATTTTACACTGTAACTCTTTGGCTATTTTCTCCATTTGTGTCATATTAGAGGCAGTTTATGGTATTCTAATAGCAAGATAATTCAAGTACTTTCTTAAATTAGCAGCTTAATTCAGTCTCGGTAGAATGAGCACACAGGAGATAAGCCCCTATCGATTTACACTAATAGTAATTGTGTCTTCTCCAGAACAGTAAATAGAAAGTTTTTCTTCATAGAGAGTTTGAAGAATTAGACTCATCATGGAAATCCCTCATGTTCTGAGATGAGATATCGATAGATAAATAGATGGCTACAGATATTCATCAGCCTATGGGTTCACTAAGAGAGATCTCCTGAAAGACAATTTTTAATAAAAGTGATGAAGTAATGTCCTTAAGTATAAAAGTCATTAAAACTTCTGTAATCATGCAATATACAAATATTCACATAAAAAACCCCCAAAGTGAAAAAGTAGTGCACGGGTATCACAAGGTACGTTTTACAATTAAGACGATCATCTTTACCTTGTTTCTGAATTCTCCATTAAAAGCAAACTGGTTTTCTGGTTTTCCCTCTGGCACCTTATAAAATCTAAACCAGTTAAGCGTAGCTTCCAAATAACCTGGTTTGTACTTCTTAACATCATCAATATCTGTAAGTGAAGAAACAAGACTTTCTGTTAAAAATCGAAATGCATTCCTGTAAGTGGTGGAGCACTGAACTGGGGGAGTCAGAAAACACAGGATCTAGTCTGACTCTGCTAACCAGCAGCACAATCATCAACGTGTGTCCCAGCGCTTCTGGAATTCCGGTTTTGCAATGTGAATACTACTACTTCATTCTGCAGACAGTTCTCGAACAACTTCAGACTGGGTTAGGTACTGCAGATAGGTACTGTGTTAGGTACTGCAGATAGGTACTGTGTTAGGTACTGTGTTAAGTACTGCAGATGAGAACAACAAAGTTATTTCCCCTTGAGGAGCTCAGAGCTCTAATTAAAGGAAGCAGACAACGACATGCAATGCAATAGGAAGATCGAGAAGAGCTTAGAGCTGATGTCACCCTGCAGGCAATGGAGGGCTTAAAGTAGGGCAAGTGTCCCAGAAATATTAAGCTAAAAGAACACTAAAGACAGGAAGGAGAGGGGAGTACCCAGAAGAGAACACACTAGAGGTGGGTGAGAAAGGTTTCATGAGCACATATGCCAAATATTTAGTAAGTTTCTCATTCATTATATGCCAGACACTGTTTTAAGCAGTGAAAGAGAACAGTAAATGGAAGTGGCTTACACAGTAGAAAGAGACAAACGACAACTAAAGAAACAAGTACATAACATGCTAAGCGGCAAAAAGCCCGATGAAGGGAAATAAAGCAGAGTAAGAAAGAGTGCGGACAGGGCAATTTTAAACAGGATGGTACATCCTGTCTCTATTTTTGTGAAAAATAACTTCTGTAAGTTAGGTACCACTGAGCTCCTCCAACTCACTGTTTTCTTGTACAGACGGGGCAAAATTCTTTTAGTCCACGCCAGGTAAGCAACCAGAGAGGCACTGAAGTAAGTAAGTTTCTATAACTTAAATCTGCTTTATGACTTCATCATTGTGCCTTACCTAATCTGCCATTCTCTGTCCCCTGAATAAAATTTTTTTTGATAACTGATTTTTTATTCATTTACATCAAATAAGAAAGGAAAAGCTAAGTTAAGTTATTCAATATCTATCTCAGCTTAGGAGGCTTTCTCCTCAGAAGTTATGAATAGGATCTGTTAAGCAAAGACATCAATAAAAATAAAATAAAATAAACCTGAAAATTTAATAATGCCAGTAAGAAGTAAACTATCCAAATACAAGCTAAACTTTTCTATTCTCAATTAATTATAATCCTGGGGGGAAAAAACAGCTAGATTTGCATACCAAAAAACACCAAAAATTGAAAATAAGCAATTTAAACCTTTTTAGAACCTCTACAATAGCAAGTGCCTCAAGATAAAATCTTATATCCAATACCAATAGTCAGTTCAATGATTTACTCTTCTGAAAATAAGAAAAATTCCACCTAAAATCTACAAACTGATTTACAGCTTATAGAAGACTTTTTTTATGTAAATAACCTCACTTGTTCCTCATAAAACTTGTGAGGGTTCAGAATAAGCACAACCATTCACATGAAACATAAGAAAACTATACCTAAGAAAACGTAAAGGATTTGCCAAACTTTATCCAACTCATTCATGGTAGAACTAGCACAGCTTCCCCGCTTATCTGTGCAGGGGACGTTCCAAGACCCCCAGGGGATGCTTAAACCGCGACAGTACCGGGATCCTATATACACTATGTTTTTCCCTATACACACACACCTATGATGAAGTTTAACTTATACATTTGGCAAAGTGGTTAACAATAACAAATAAATAGAATAATTATTACAACATACTATAACAAAAGTTACGTGAATGCGGTCTCTCATCTCCCCCCATCTGATAACCAACGTGGTCGCTGAGAGCAGGCAGCACATGTACACACGCACATGCTGCACACGGGGTGGCTCCCGGCTGGCGAAGGGGGAAACGGGCAGCACGAGACTCCATCACGCCGCTCAGATCTGCGTGCACTTGGAAACCTATCCACTGGAGAGTGCTGGAATTTTCCATTTCAGATTTTTGGACTGCAGTTGACCTTGGGAAACCAAAACTGTGGATAAGGGGGACTACTATGTTATAAAAATACAAGTCTTCTAATTCCATAAATTCTTTTTTTCTACACTGCACAGTAATATTGTCAGAGGTTTTACTTACCTTAAAAGGATATTAGCGTTAGTTATATTTTTATTTTAAATGTTTTCTTGTGGTAAAATATACATAATATGAAATTTGCCATTTTAAGTGTATAATTCAGTGGCATTAAGTACATCTACAATGTTCTGCAATCATCACTGTCATCCGCTTCCATAATTTTTTTTATTAGATGTATTTTTTACAATATATTTTAAGAAAAGCAGTAATTCTATAGTAGTCATTTATTCCCAATGTTGGGAATTAACTTCACATTAAAGTTTCTATTACAGATAATCATATAGTTTCAAGACGAACTAATCTAGTAAGTTAGAATAACCTAGAAGAGCTTTTTTACATAATCAAGCTATTTATTTCAGTTTCTGCTTTTCATTACAAATGAAATTCTTTTAATCAAGATCTACTTGATCAACTCCCTGGACGATTAACAAAGACTTCTTTAAAATGTTCTGACTGATGTCCACAGTAATCTGTATGCTGAGTCTACCAGATAACTCTAAATAAAACCCACACTTTGCTTCCTCCAGTTAAGTTTCAGCTTTAGCAAACACCACTTGTATTTATTCCCAAAACATTTATGCCAACTGCATCTTAGTTATGAGAGTTAATAAAACATTATATAAAGCAGTGATTTTATCAGTACAAAAAAGAGATTCTGATTCTATAAAATTAATTTGCATGTTTTGAAAGAACTCAATAGAATAGGTTGCTAAAAATATCTGCTGTCAAATTAGGCCTGGGTAAGAAAATAGCTAAAGATGAAAAAAAGTCTACAATTACACATGTAGACTGCTTTGCAAGTGAGGTGGGGAGATTTTAAATATGAAGGGTCAGAGACAGCCTCTGATAAAATGTATTTCAGTAAATTCCTGAATGAAGTATAGAAACAACTGATTCAAATACCTAGAGTCGTCTTGGGAGGAACATGGTAAGTGCTAACCTTCTGAGCTATGAGTATGTTTAAGATGTTCAAGAAAAAGTGTAAGAAAGCCCTGTGTTTAGAGCAGAGTGAGAAAGGCAGCCCCAGCCAGTCACAGAGGGCTCTGAGGGCCACACCAGGGACTCTGCTTTTCACTTTGAGGTGGGAAACCAGTAGAGGATCTGGGCAGAGGAGCACAAGTTTTTAGGAAGATCTCTCCATCTGCTATGTAGGGAAAAGACCATGTAGAGGAAGAAGTGGAAGCCAGAAATCCAGTAAGAGGCTAAATGTAGTTGTATGGAGGTGGTAACAAATGGTCCATTTTGGATTATCTACAGAAAGCACAACTGAGAGGACTTACCCATGTGGGGGAGGTAAAAATAACAAAAACCACTAAAGATAAGACTTACATAAAACTTAAAGTATCAAAGAGCTAAAAAGGACTAGTTTGTAAAATTAAGTAGAAACAGTCACCTAAATATGTATCACCCTAGTCTTTTTTTAAAAACCTTCATAAAAGGCATCCTGACTTGTGACAAATAATGTGCAGCCATAACTTACTTTATTACAGGGCTGTTTTCAAATTTGAAAGTTTAATTACCAAAAATTATATGGAGTCTCCTTAAGAGAATATTTATGTTAAAACTAAAGATATATGATTTATAAAAAATCACAGTTCTAAATAAATCCATTGGAAATTTTATATATTTCTTTATTAAAGGCTGGCTAAAAAAGCAAAACAGAAAACAATGATGAAATAAAATGACAAATTTTAAAGTTCAATTTGGTTTGATCTTTTCCAGAGCTCTCCATTTTAATTAATTTATTTCTTATTTATTTTATTTTTAAAATTGATTTTAGAGAGAGGAAGGGGGAGAGGGAGAGAGTCAGAGAGAGAGAAATATCTAAAGCATGAGAACTTTTATATCTAGAGACTTATTAAAGCACCAATGAACTTTAACAATGATTATATACTAAAAACAAAGAAAACACTAAAAGATTAGGAGCATGAGAAAATTATGACAACATATTCGGTTAGCATAATGCAGTATATCTAAAAATCAACAATACAAATTTTAAGTAACTCTCTGAACCCATTAAAAAAAGAACCACACCCCGTCCCCCCAACTACACAATTAAAAACTTCTAAAACAAACAAAAAACCCGACAATCTTGTTTAATAAATAACTTTTTGATCCAAAATAAAATAAAAACTCTAAGAACATTCAGGAAATGATGACAATTGAGAATGCTCAGCAAGTTTATAAGAAGTAAGGTAAACTAGGAAAAACATCCTGTTTGGAATTAGCACTCAGTTCAGATTCCAGTTCTGGCACTCATATACTATTGAGTCATCTTAGACAAATAAATTATTTGGTCTGATTCTTCAAATACAAAATGAAGAAAATGAAGGTTCTTGTGAGAAATAAATAAGGTAATATATGAAAATCATCTAATAAAAAATAAGAGATCACTCTTAACAAATATTAATTATCAGCCCTCCACCCCTAAAACTTTGTCCATGGGATGCAGCCAAAGCAATACTCAGAGGAAAGCTTTGTCTCTCAAAAGTAAATCAAGAAATGAATAAATGATTTAGAAAATTATTACAATATTTTCATTAATACTGAGAACGATTTTATTTTTAATGTGTATAACTCTACTGAAAAAGCAGCTAGATACAGACATAAAAAATGTAAACAAGCACTAAAAATAGCATATAAGAGGCATCTGGACATACATACACAGACATGTACACTTATTCGTAACTTTTTCTATATATTTTTGGTAAAGAGCAAGACTCGAATGAATTTGTAATTAGTTTACTATTTCATGACAGACATATTTACCTTTATTTCTAATATTATGATAATTTAGTTCTTATAAAGTATTTCATTTCTATCGTTTAAGTTAAATTTAAATAACCAATTTTTAAACATTT